ACAGTGAATCTTAAAAAAAATTTTTTTCTTAAATATATCATCACAGTGTAGAGGAACAACAAAAAACACGGATCTACAAAAAAATTTCAATGCATTCACACTGGCGTCAAATTAAAACCTGATATTCTGACAGACTATATATGCTTCCGACAACTTTCGTAGTACGAAAGGGGGAGACAAACCATTAGGAGATTACATTAGGCCGTCGTTCCTACTAATTCGTTATATATTAAGTTTAGTCAATAAAAATATCACTCGGGTCATACAGACCCGACGCAACTAATTAAGAGTTAAATAGCTCCTACTCGGTTTCCACATCAGCGGTCATTAACGCTTAATATATCCTCGGTTTCTACATCAACGGTCAACGATGCTTAATATAAATCTGAAACTATTCCGTACGAGTCCGGGGTTAAATACGTCAGTATCTCCGCTATTATGCACCGCAAACTTTGACGGCGCTGACAACAACATCCAATCTATAGCATTTCACCAATTATCAAAGGTTAGAGGAATCCAACAAAGCTTTCAGAAGAATCCAACAAAACTTTTATCCTCACGAAACAAATCATATAAAATCGCTCCTTTAATCTGAGCAGTTCTTGCGTTTATGCCTTGTTAACCCAAGACAAGTATGCGAGTAACTATAATAAATGATAATACTAAATTAAACAAACAAATAATCACGTAAAAACAATATTCAGACCTTTGATAACTGGGGACCTGAACCGGAAAAAATTACTCGCAACATTACAAAACGGAGTGAACTGTAGAGCATGGTTGACGTGACCTTGACTGACCTAGCCTGATACAGTGTGACCTGTCTTCGTTTTTGGCGCTCTGAACTTCAGCCGAAATGTTAATATCACTACTTTCCTGCTGAAAAGATGAAATAGAAATAATAAAACAAGTTTAACCACATTACAGTGGCAAATAATATGAAATTCCTTTATCATTACAATAATTTAAAGGCCTAAAATAAAATAAACTTGCTAAAATACAAAACTTTCTGACGGGCTTTAAGACACCGTTGTTTGCACATTTTGAAAATAAACATAAGATTTCATGGTTCTCTAATTTTATCCAATAAGTTCATCAGCCTGACAGTATTCAATATCAAGAATGGGTAGAAATATGATTATACAAAAATGGAATTGTACATGGCATACTCATGTCATTCTTATGTTAGGAAATGAGACTTAGCTAGTAGATAACAACTGGAAATATAATATAACCATACTAAGAATATGCTAATCATTAAGAAGCCAACTATCATAACAACAGAAGCGTATCACAAGTGTACTCTAAACAAGTAAAATAGGAAAAATGTTCATAATCGGGAGTGCATAAAACTACATTAACACAGGAAAATCTGTGATAACGATGATGATCTCGCAGACAAATGATATCTTAAAATTTCAAGAATTTTAATTAGCCAAATCTGGATGTTATGACAGCCATACTTTTGCAGATAAGTAGTATAGAAAAGACGGATATATAAGCAAGGTTTTAATTGGTCGCATTTCGTCTAGGTATCAAATATAACAATTACGTATCACAATATAAATATAAACGCGCAAATGAAGGCGCAAAATGCAAGCTGCAAACAAGTTCGAATCAGTTCTCACCTTTTCAAGATATGTCCGAGAGCAAACAGGGCGGCAAGTGCCTACTCATAAGCCACATGACGTACACTGATCATAAGAGAATGTTTTTCAAAGCATGACACGTAATTTTCGACAGATCATCTTGCGTTGATACGCTAAAGAACGAAGCGCCGGATGATGACTTGACGGTTGACTTCTTGGCCTACTTCTTAACTGCGGCGCATTACTGCCTGACAGGAGACAGTAGAATATTCTTCCTGCGGATCAAACTTAATGCCTGAGCACTTATACGTTAAGGGGCTCGAGGTCAGTGCGAAATTTGTTTACTTTCTGGGAAATGTGGCTCGTGACTGAGCGATTACGACTGTTCGAAATTCTGTCCTTAGGCAAAACATTTACATGTAACTTGGAAGACTGGTTCCAAGACTGGATTGCCAGAGATGTCTCAACAAAAGGAGACAGCCCCTGTACTTGAAATTTCAGTTTCACATTTTTTTCATTGCTTTTTCCTTTGGTTCCAACAAACAAGGCAAAATATTGTCAGCGTCATCACAGGAATTTCTGGTTCAGAAAGGAAAGATCATGCAACAGCAACTTTTGAAGTAAAGCGTTTTTGCACTTGATGGTCTGTTTTGCTTGCTAGTTCAGTACAATTACAGTAAACAGCCGAATAACACTTAAAGGAGATGCATTTTCAGTGCTTCACATTTTTTCATATCCGTTCCCCGTAATTCCTAGTCGAATGCGACTAAAAAATTTAAGGATGAACTGAAATTTGTTTCGTTATTAATCTCGTGATAAAATCTTGAACTAGAAAGCACCCAAGTACGTTTTCCTAATGGCCAACTGCCTATGCAAATTCCCTTCAAGAATAATGTAATAAGGACTCTGAATACGTACGAGTCAACAGAATAAATTTATTTTATCTGTCGTACCTCAACGAATTGTATACTCACTTTGATTTATTGGCTGATGAAAGGACAGATCGCCAAAAAAAGTGGAAGATCACTTTGCTCTCTGTCAAGGTTATAATCGGTCCTCTCCTTGATCCAGTACACGTAGCAGGGATTTGCGATCTTTACAAGTGATTTCAGGGATCATCAAAGTCTTACTCCTGCGGTAGGGAAATATTGGACAGCTAGTAAAAAGCCGAATCATTATATGACTCGTTAACTGGGCTATTCGCATATGAAATTTGCAACATATGCTATAAGAACATCTTACGTCTCATGACCTTAAACACAGCCAACAAAAACTTTTTTCAAGCGCCCAGTGGATTTCAGACATTCGTACATCTCAATTCTTATTGGTCAACCCATAGCAATTACAAAAGTACTCACAATTACAAGTTAATGAATCTTTCGCGAATAAATTACACGAGAAGCAGAAAACTACAGCCTTCAGTGATTACTGATAGTCAAGTTCGTCATCACCGAGCGGCGGAGCCAAGTTCTTCTCCATCAACATGAGTCGATGAGGCCCTTTCTTGGCATCGTCGATCTCATCAATGATTTCGCGAAGACGTTGCTTGACTCTGGCAACGTTGGCACCCGTTTTTGCCGAGATGTAAAACACGTCGTACAGTTTAAGAACTTTCTCGGGATGCATTATGCCTTCAGGTATTTTCTGCCAGTCTTCGTACGACTTCCGGTGACGAATGTCGTTCACGTCGTGATTATCATCCGCAATAGTGTCCATTTTATTTATACATAACACAGCGGGCTTGTCCAACAGCTCTGGTTTGTACATTTCCAATTCCTTCAAAATATTTACAAAAATGTACTCCGCTGTATAGTGAATCATTTTGTCATTTTTAGATATGGGATTGTCTTGGTCCCCGGTTCAAAATATGTACAATTATTCATTGAATCAATTAGAGAAATGCAGAACACGGAAGCTTAAGAAAGTACAGTTCATACAGTCAAGCATCCTTAGTCTGATCTCAAACAGTTTAAAAATCAGTAAAATGTCGATCTCTGATGCGCATAATAATAATAATCATAATAATCAGCAGGACAACAACATATATGTCAGTGGTGAAACTTCGCCGAGAGTAAGGGAGTTATACTTTGGCTTAATACTTTTTCGATAGTTATACTAGTTAGCTCACGCAGTGGATGCTTTTAAGACAGTCACTAAAAGATTAGATTATTATATGCATTGCCTAATAAACAACAATGTAACGACAAGAG